ATGATTAAGTATCTTTTCTTATACAAAAATTCCTTTGCCATAAAAATATAACATGACTGAATAATATACTCATAAATTAATTTCTTTCACCCCAAATTTTTTATTTATTTAATTTTTTTTTTTTTTTTTTTTTTGTGGCATCTGAATAAAGATATCCAACATGAAAACAAGAAATACCAAACTTATTGCTTAATATCTCTCAGAAAAAATATATATATATATATATATATATATATATATATATATATATATATATATATCAATAAACATCTGTAGTTACTAACGGAAATTACATTTCTCACCTTTGGAAATCAATAATAGACGCACTATGAAGCAAATAAATTAGAGGAGATCACGTTAAGCGATAGATCCTTGGATCCAGAAGTAGAAAATCAAATATCAGTTGCACCATACATAAATTTCTTTAATATTCTATTTTTCAGATCATCATTGAGAGGGAAAACAATATTAAATACGAATTTGGTACAACTAAAATAGTATAAAGGAATGTCAAAGCTCCATCATATCAAGATGTAACCTTTTCTAATATAGTTATCACAAATAGATCATATATGAACTCAAAAAGGGCCAAGAGCCTAATATGTGAATCCAGATGAGCTTAAAAATATACTCATTGGCTCACTTGGAATAAATTGCTTATGATATTTTCATCCAAAAAAATGACTGATACTAAAAATATGAAAGCATAAGTTGTTTGTCTAATGATACCTAATAAAATAAGAGGTTTTGAAAAAAATCCATTAAAGATCTTGTATCAACTCATCACACTTAAGTAGCAATATATACATATATACATATATATAAGTAAATGCCACAACCATATCCCTATATTTCCCATCAAATTTCCATTCTTCCTGACTTTACCATTATCGATTAACACTCCTAGATGAGGATAGCACATTACTAACATTAACCAAAGGAAATTTTACAGCATCTGACTCCCACAAACCCCAATCTGATGAAGAATTTAAAGAAGACCCATTGGAGATTTTAGGCTTTTGTTGCTTTTCACTCCATAACCACCAAGACAAATAGGTAAATGCTACAACTATATCTCTCATAATCCAAAATTTTCAATGTACTTGTGCTCTGATAATTTAAAGATGAGACAAAATATTCCAAAATGGATTCTATTTCTGTAAGTTATGGGAACAACTAAAATAAGAAAACTGATTAAGTAGATAGAAACAAACAGCAATAAAGGTTAAAACCTAAACAAATGAAGGATGATATTGCAGCGTCTATACTAAAAATCTTTTTGTTTTTCTTAGTTCCTTATTAACAAACAAATGAGTCATATAACATCTATTTTGAACATTAAGTGGATTGACACCCCATATTTGACCCAGAAAGATATAATTGAAATTGCTTATATTTTCAAAGATAACTTGTATTCACCAAAAATAGATCAACAGCTCAAATGAAAAAACCCATCATGCAACCCAAAAAAAAAAATTTAAAAAAATTAAAAAAAAAATAATATAGAGCTTGAAAAAAGTGAATATATTAATAAATCTGCGCTTTAAAAAAAATAAAAAATAAAAATTGATCCAACATTGAAACAGAAACAATTTGTTTTCAAGCTCAACAAACAATTCTACCTAAAAAAAAGTTTTAAAAAAACTACAAATCAACCTAACAATAATAAAGGGTTCTAAAGAAGATTGCAAGAAGAGTAAAAAGAAAATTATCTAATATTTATTTAGATAAATATATGTGAGTGTTAAATATAAAGGGTAAAATATGGACCTTGCAATCTCCACAAATGGTGAGTGAATTGCGATTTCTGACGACTACACAGCAGACGTTTTGGGACTCAAGAGATTTTATTGTGCAAACCCATTCTTTCTCTTCGTTGTTACCGATTCCCAACTATCCGTCTTCTCCAAGGCCCATGAGAGAAACATAGCAAAGGAAGAGTGTTATCACATGGTCTTCTCCAGACCACACGATAACGCCGTTCTTGGAAGCCATATAAGAGAGTATAGAAAAAGTTATGAAAATATAGTAGAAGTCGCCGAAGGAAGAAGAATATAGTGATTTATGTGTGCGCCATTAATCCAAATTAAAGAAGAATATAGTGATTTATGTGTGCGCCATTAATCCAAATTAAACATAATATCAATGTTTCCACAATAAAAAACTAAAAAATAACCAAATCAAAACCCTAAAAAACTCAATCTTTCACCCAACACAAAAAAGAAGATGAATTGAAGAATTGATGCTTGTCTTGGCTATTCTTATTTGCGTGTGGTACAAAACCTTAAATCAAATTTCATGGTTAGGAGGAGAGAGAGCTTTGTTCTCTTTTGTCTGGAAGAGAATTTGGAAGAAGATGTTATGAGGGAGTTTCAAATGGAAAATGGAAAATGAAAAGTTGAGAACGGCTGGCACCAAAGACCAATGAATAAATATTGTATATACATACTCTGTTAATATGGTTAAATTCTATTTTAGCTCAAGCGCCACCTCAGCAATTTTACCCTCACTGGACACCTTCCAGTGAGAGGCGCAAAGGAGACGATTTTTGTCCATAAAAGAAATGGACAAATTACATAAATCCTTGTATATTATTCAATTTTTATTACTAAATTCTAAAAAAAAAAAAAAATTCCATATTAAATGACTATTTTTAATTTATCTTTGCCATTAGTTACATGCGTTCCAAGTAATTTATTTGACTAAAAATTTATCATATCCTTTTCATATTTCATGAAACTATCATTTTTCTACTTTTTTTTTTATTTAAACATAAATAAGCTCATTTTAATAATTTCACATCAGTAACACTAAGATTAGGATGTTTATTTGACACAATTTACTTTAAAATTAACACAGTAATGTTAATTACAAAAAGTGAAATAGTATGACGAAACTTTTTGAAATCAACCCTAAAAATGTCACCGTTGCATAAAGACACTTCCAAATTTACTACTCCAGTAAGGCGGGGGTTGTAGTATGTTAATCTCCTTAGTGTTTTAGATGTTTTTGGAATTTAATATATGTGTTATGCATGCTTGTTTAATTGTAGGATTGCATCAGACTCTATATTCTTGACTTCTAGTTAATGATTTAAAGCATGTCTAAGATATATGTCTTGTGAAGAGATGATATTTAATTTAGTAGATTACTAAATCTTAGAATTTCATGTTGTTATAATATGAAAATTCATGTAGATTATTTTTATTTTATTAGTAGCTTATTAAATTCTAGAGATTTCATAAGTGATGTGCTAATGAATTTTTGTAGAATATCACTAATGATTACTTTACAAGCTTATTACTATATTATTGTTAATTTAGTATTTAAGCTACTTTAGTAATTAATTTAGTTATATGTGATATAATTTTTGGTTTTACGAATCGCACATTGAAGATTCGATATTTAAATGCCTTGTTGGTATAATGAATCGCACATTAAAGATTCGATATTTAAATGCCTTGTTGGTGTAATGAATCGCATATTGAAGATTCGACATTTCGTATGTCATTTTAAACTTGAAACCCTAAGACGTGGTTTGTGTGGTTTCAACCCTACTTGTGCATGAAACATGGTTTTTATGCTTTATTTACTTCTGTATAAGTTATGGACTTATATTCTTGATTTTGGAAACACTTAGGATGTTACAAAATTGACATGGCTAGAGTAAAGCTCTAGTACTGGAGATAAGAGTTCTTCCTACATTATAGTGCGCACTTGGGTTGTTCCCGTGGGTTAGTAGCCCGATTAACTGCTTACGTCTTGGTTATATTCCGGAATTTGATGTCCAAGATATTCGGCTACTTGATTTTGCATTCAATTCCAAGTTGACAACTAATGCTTAATTGTGACTTGTGATTTTGGTTTTCTTTAAGTTCTAAAGTTATTTAGTATACTTGTGTATAATATTTTTCATTTCAATTGCTTAGAGTAGTTTAAGATGATCCCTTAGTTCACCTTATAACTTAGACGTTAGGTGAAATGATCCTTTGTATTAATCTATATTGAATTTGCATGACACTTAAAACTTTAGAGTATACACATGCTCTTCTTCCTACAAGTAACTTGGACCCTCAAATTGCTACATTTTTCAAAAATTTTATGGTTGTCAGGCCATTGTTTGCACCTGCACTCCTTTGTCAAGTTTTTCGTAAACTTTGAACTTCGATATTTTTTTCGTCCGAACTCCAAATTAAGTGATTCTTAAGTCTAGATTTGTTAATTTTTTGTTGTCTTTCTAATGGTGTGCACAGTAGCACCCACTTCTATTTTGAAAAGACCATTTTACCCCTAGAGTTGTATTTACCCGTTTTTAAAATGTCGCTGCCACATTCTGGATCCGCTATCGGGGTCATCTTTCGAGTCATCACAGGACGCATTGGATTTGAAAACCACGCCGTCACTATATATATATATATATATGACTATTGAAGTTGTACCCTTGTCAAGTTTTTAATATATTATACTATACAATAACAAGTCATTCATCTTGATAAAAGAAAGGACATGGACAAATTACATAAATCTTTGTATATTATTCAATTTTTATTACTGAATTCTTAAAAAAAAAATTCCATATTAAATGACTACTTTTAATTTTTCTTTGTCATTAGTTACCTGCGTTCCACGTAATTTATTTGACTAAAAAATTTATAATATCCTTTTCATATTTCATGAAACTATCATTTTTCTACTCTTTTTTTATTTAAACATAAATAAGCTCATTTTAATAATTTCGCATCAGTAACACTAAGATTAGGATGTTTATTTGACACAATTTACTTTAAAATTAACATAGTAATGTTAATTACAAAAAGTGAAATAGTATGACGAAACTTTTTGAAATCAACCCTAAAAATGTCACCGTTGCATAGACACTTCCAAATTTACTACGCCAGTCTATGTAATCTGTGGGTTCCTCCAGCAGAATGGCTGAAGAGTTTCAGGTTTGTAATTTGGGCTACATGCACTGAGCATTTAACTCCCACTGTATTTTTTTTTCGCCCAGATAAAGGAGGGTTGTGTTAGGTATCTTTGACAACTAACATGTGAAGAGTAAAATTTTATCACGATGAATGTGAATATAAACAACGAAATGAAAATAGAAGATTCTTGTAGCCAATCCCAAATAATTGGGAAAAAAAAAAAAGACTTGATAGTTGTTGTAAATGTACCGAGCACTTGTATATAGATTGTGATTTATTGTAAATCAACAGAGAAGTTTGATACAAGCTTCATTCAAGCCACTATGGTTATTCCTAATAATTGCTACAAACAGAATTTTTAACACTACTATAAGAGGCCAATCTCCTCTACAAGGGTAGAAAATAGCAAGTTGGTGTAGCCCTCAAATCTTGCAAGTAATTTATCTGAGCTATAAGCCATAAGCTATAAGCTTAGCTCTTTATATGCCTCCTTTTTATATGTAATGAAGGAGCTTCTTGTTTACATGCAGCATGACTAGTGCCACTTCCTTCTTACTAATAACAGGTAGCCCCCGCGGGCGTTTGCCGTCCCCCTGATCTTATTCAATACCCTCATCAACTAGTTTCTGGAAATTATAGATACATTTATATAACCATTCCATCGCTAATCGTTGCCTTCTCTAATATAATTGTGATCCCTGACCGAATGTAGAATCCTTCCTCTGGTCTATCTGCTTCTTGAATGCCCTAAGAACAATAAGAGAAATGAAAGAAGATGAGTAAGGTGAAGATTTGTACTTTTTGACATATATATTTTCTGAGAAGTTATAGGGAGAGAGAAGATTTAAAAGCACAGACAGCAATGCTTACATCTTTGTTCATGATGATAACATCTTTTCCTACCTTTGCATTCTTGTCAATTATACAGTTCCTTCAGAAAGAAAACACACACACACACACACACATTAGGATAAGAACTTGATGGTCTGAGTTTCCATGTATGTTTACAAATTTCTGTATCGTTGTCCATTTACCTCATCTTTGTATTCCTTCCAATCCCAACCGGGACCTTACCCTCAGCTAACAAAGAGGCGATTTCAGATTCTGTTTGGTAATAGTCTGCCCCCATCATAAAGGAATCCTAAAAAGAAGAAATAATAAAAAAGATAAAAACATGTCGGCACTCAAACTCAACTCATCATAGGAAAATCTCAAAAGACATTGTTCTTTTCTCAGAGGCTTCCATTTGTGTTTAGGAAAAAGAAATTTGGAGACGGTCATGACCTCACCTTAAGCTCAACACCATTGTTTAAACGTGAGCGCTCACCCACGATGGAGTGGTCAATGCTACATTCTCGCAAGAAGCACCCATGTGATATTATTGCATCCTTAATCTGTAAAACCCGACTAACCATAAGACGAAGAAAATTCAAAGGAGCCAAAAATAGATCTAGTATACCACATACCCGGCATTTATCAACTTTGGTTGGAGGTAAAAATAGAGGAGAAGTGAAGAATGGTGTCTTCGGGTCATAAAATTCGAACATTGGAAGCTGCATTAGATAGTAGCATTATGATCTTCGCAATCATCAGTTCAAAATTCAAATAAACTAGTAAAAATGGAGAACCAATATATATATATATATGAAACTCAAAAACTGTTATTGTCATTTAAAAACAAAAAAACAAAAAACCAACCTCTTCTGTAAGGGCTAAATTTGCATCATAGAAAGACTTTATTGTCCCAATGTCCTCCCAATAGTCTCTGAATATGTATGCCTGTCAGTGTATACATATATAATATCACCTTTTCCATCTTTAGACATTTAGTTCATTTGATGCATAGGGTAAAAACAACTAAAATGGATGACCACGTGATTTGAATATACCAAAGCGCATCTATCCCAATCATATAACTTCCCCATCCTCAAAGAGGATGGGAGGGGTTTGAGCCCGGGTGTAAGCAAAAAAAAAAAGTGTGTTTCTTCCAAGGTAAAACCAAAAAAAAAAAAACACATGGTTTGAATATGGAGTATGATTAAATCTCTTGGATTTCTTTTTCTTTCTTTTCCTATTTCTTTTTGTTTTTGGCGGAGGGGAAGGAAACTGTTTGGGAAAGGAGTGTGTTCAAGCCTTGAAGAATAGTTTTGACAAAAATATTCAAATTCTAGAGCTTCTTTTCTTACTTGGACGTTGCGCTCCTTCACAGCTGAAGGAATGATTTCAGATCCGAAGTCATTTGATGTGGGATGTCTCCACCTCAGAAGATTCAATAAAATCTGTGTCTTAAATACATAGACTCCCATTGAAGCAATGTATGGTGTCTTCACAGCATCTTGCGGAGACAACCCTAGGAGAGTGGTATCCACTTTCTGCATAAGCCAACAGGAACTATTAACAATAGAAGAAAACTAGCTATTTCCGTAATGATGTGCAGAAGTAAAAGAAAACTATCTGCTTAACGATGTGCAGAGCTAAAACCAAACATTAGTATATTGAAATCTAATTTTAGTAGGTATCTTTAATTAATTAATAAAGATAAACTTGGGCTCTTCTGATTTATGCACTGAACCCTGCAAAAAGAGGTCAAAGCAACACAATTTGGTACTTGTTGAGAGAGATAATGACTCGCAAGTTACACAGAATGATCCCTATAAGCTAAATGTTCTTCATGTTTCTGTACAAAAGCCCAGGAAAAAGAAAAGGAGCATGTAAATACTGCGATCAGCTTGATTTCATCTTTTACGAGATTTTGGTGATATTGTAATGATCCTGATAAATGTATTCCTTTGAAGGTTGCATATTGATTTTTTATTTTTTAACAAAATTCTCCTTAAATTAACAAGCTTATGTATAGATACTATGTATGATAAGTTCTAATAACTACCTAGAAAACTGTACGAAACGAAGTAGGTTTGAGCATCAGATTTCTTACCATTGCTGTTAGATCAGAAGCCTTGGGTTTTTCAGCAAACTGGATGATTCGTCCTCCGCTGTCAATCTTCATCAATCCATAATCTGATGCACGGCTACAGAACAGAAGAAACTCAAACTGATATGGAATCTAATAATTGTCGTATAAAATAATCATAATAAATAATAACAATAATTATAATTCTTTGTCTTTCTTTTTCTTCCCCTTCTATCACTTCATTGCAAAAGGAACAATTTCAAAAATATTCAACCAAAAGTGTGTGTGTGTCTGTATGCATATAAAAGCAGCAAAATTGATTAGAGAATCTTAAACAATTAAATATACCCATAATATCAAAATCAACAAACAGAGATCTTATTTTGAAGTATAGCAACGGACCTATCACCAACTGGTACACATGAAACCGTAATATCAGCATTTCGGTTGATGTGATTCTGTGGTGCATTGCAAAAAAATTAGCACGACTTGAGAGAAGTTAAAAATAGTAGTCCATTCCATTAAGTCCGTAAATTGTACCTGCACAAAATCCATATAGTCCATACGATAAAGTTGATCTCCCGACAAGATCAGTATGTTCTCAATGTTCTTGTTCTTGGCATCCTACAAGAATCAGTGAAATTCCATCAGGTTCAATATCAAGTCGAATGAGCAACAAAGTAACTTTGCTGAAATTCATTGATTCAGATCATATTTCTGAAGATGATAAGAGTATCTATGATTCAAAATTCATATTCCCACCTCAAACACCCATATAAATTGCCTTACAGCATCTGCAGTCCCTTGGAACCACTCCGTACCTGCTTCCCCCGGTGTTTGAGTGGCTGCTAGAACCTGTTTGAAAAGTAAATTTCACATTGAGAACTAATAATCCGTGGAAGAAAAAAAAAAAAAGTTAGTTAATTACAGTTTGTAACTTTGTATATGAAAATTGCGTAGTTTCTCAACAGAGACCTTAGAAAAATAAATGTCAATCGAGTTGTCTTTGCAATTATTATATATCCTAATTCAAACAAAGTGTTGTATGTGTCACTACAATTTATGTACTTTTATCTCGCTAAAAAATCAAAAGTACTTTTATCCACCAAAATCTTCAGAAATATACCAAGGATATGTTTGGTAGCATCAAATTTTTGCCTTGGAATTGGAGTTGGAGGAAAATTAGTTCAAAATTGCAGTTCCAATTCCAAGGCACCGGTTCTATGCTTCCAAACATAATGCAATGTAAGGGGATTTCTTCTTGATTGTCATCTCTCATTACATATTGTCTCACTCAACGGTTGTTACCTCCACAAATCCATCCCCAAAGTTGACACCATTTACAAAATATGTACGGGAAATGTGGCGGTTGAGGGAAGCAGAATTAAACTGGGTGAGTACAAAAATCTTGTTTATTCCGCTGTTGATGCAGTTGCTCATCGGGATGTCTATAAGCCTGTAGCATCCTCCAACTGGAACCTGGAGATCATGGTAAATCATCAAATGAAAGCAACGATTCTGTTATGTTCTGAATTTTAAAAATATAAGGTCAATAATCATCATTAAATTGACATAAAAAAAATAAATAAATAAAAATTTAACTTGCTAAAATGGCTTAATTATCTAACAAACATAGAGTTGTATATGAGTCAATTTGAGCCTTTAGGCAACTCAAGCCCGGCTCAGATGAAGAACAGAAAATATGTTCAAGCTTGACTCCTGACGAACTTGTGCAGCATAAGCTCTACTCAGCTCAATTACTTGTGAAACATGTATTTCCACACTTGTTTATTTGATTTTATCACTTTTTTAACGAATTTTATGTATCATGTTACTTTCGTTATTACTAAATAGATGTATAAAAACCTATGAGACTGTTTAGAAGCCAATAAGAACCTGAACTATTCATGAACAGTTGGAAGGCACATTCGAGCCCTAAACAAACCACTCAGCTACTTTGAACATAAATTAATTATTAATTATGCTAAAACACGTGCATAGATTTGTATTAATTATGTGCATAATTATTGTCACTTTTAGTAATCATGCATGGGAGCACAAGTAATTACTTACAGCGGGTGTTGCCGTTTTACTTGTCAAAGGAAAGAGCTGATCCCCTGGGCCTCCACCCAATATGACTGCAGCCACATCTTTAGGGTTTGCTCTTATTTTCTCATATCTAGGTACATCTATGGTCTGAATTAAATTAAAATGTTCAGAGTGAGTTTAAATTCCAGCAAAATATTCAATCAAATTCATATCATAAAATTAAAAGAATACCATAAATGTAACCACGAACACCAACAAACAGAAACACAATAAAAAATGATAGAAAGACATCCATCACACACAAGGACGGACCCATGTTGTACCCTCCGGGGCAGGGACGGACCTCTTAGCAAGTGAGGCGGGGAATTGCTCCCCTGAATTTTTAGTTTTTTACTAATATACCATGCTATTTTTTCCTTTTTTCACTATATACCGTTAAAATATTGCTAATGTCCCCCTGAAATTATTAACCGCCCCTCCTCTCACCTAAAGTTCTAAGTCCGCCCCTGCTCCGGGGTGAATTTCCTCCTCCCCCTCACATGAGTTTATGGGTTCATCCCTGATCACCCAATACACAAAGATTTATGTTATATGGCATACAACCTAATTTCACTGTACTAAAAAAACCACCGGAGTTTTCAAATTCTCAAACCCCGAACCCTTTCTCTCTTACACTCTATTTTGACTTTCTTACACTCTATAGAGATTAGAATCCAGGTCCACCACCCGCAAGACAAAAAAATTAATAATAATAACATAAAATATTCAAATCAGCTAAAACAAAATTCTGGCCACAACTTCACAATATATATATATATTTCTCATGGTTTCAAGTTAGTATATACATGTGTGTGTATATATATTGAATCTGAAATCCAATGGAAGAATGACAAGCAAATCACTAAAGATAAATCAACACACAAGGCAAACAATAAACATTGATTAGATAATGAAAAATAACATACTATATATATATATATATATATATATATATATATATATATATATATATATATATTTCTCATGGTTTCAAGTTAGTATATACATGTGTGTGTGTATATATTGAATCTGAAATCCAATGGAAGAATGACAAGCAAATCACTAAAGATAAATCAACACACAAGGCAAACAATAAACAAGGATTAGATAATGAAAAATAACATACCACAGTGTCTCTGCCATTGTTTGATGCAATAACAGAAGAAGCAAGAACCCCAGTTTTGATCTTCCACACCCTTTTCTCAAATTTCAAACTGTTATTGGACAATTGATTTGGCCACACAATGTTGTTGGGAAAAACTTTGCTTACTTTTCCCAAATGGATATCGAATTTCAAGGTTGCACAGCAAGAATCCATTACAAACACACCAATACACCAACCCAGAAATCAGTCCCTAATGATGATGAAGATGATTGATGAGAGAGAAAGTTATTCTACGCCAATCCCAGTAAAGTAGAGACTATTGATGTAATCTAAGTAACCAAATAAAGTATTGATCACACAAAAGATGTTAATACTATATGGAATAATATATTGTAATAAATTACTAATTATGAAAACTCAAGTTTTTTAAAAAAAAAAAAAAATGAAATGTGAAGAAAACCCAGATCATACAAGTCTGTAAGAAATGAAAACTTCAGGTAAGACAGGTACCAGAAGTTGGAAGAAGTTGGATTCTCGGGAAAATAAGAAAGAAAATAAGTAAAGAAGTGAGTTTTGAAATGGAATCCAAAATAAACTTAATATTACAGAGGAAGTGGTCAGAGGGGTTTTTGACTGAGGGAAATGGGGAGAGATCTAAGGGTAGGAAATGCGTGAATGATGGTGAATGTGGTGGTGAAACTTTATTGGCTTGTGAATCAATGAATATTCACGACTCCCGAGAGATGGTTGAAAATTGAGGTACTTACATTGTATGGAATAATAATTTCTCTCACAGTCCACGTAACTAGGCTCGTCTAAATTAAAACCAAACACATGTCCCTATAATTTTTATAATTGAAGGACCATACCACACACTCTTGGACGTGTCATCATGTAAATTTATGACAATGTATACATTTATGTAATAAAATATAGAGTAAAGTGTTAAACATTTCTGAACTAAGTCAGAATTTGTAAATAATCTCTTTAAAATATATTTTGTGCTTAAAATCTACTAAATAATAGTATTTCGTCATGGTTTGCAGACTAATTCGGACAAATATCTGTGTGGTGTATAACAGTATCAAACACTTGAAAAATGGTTACGAATACAGCAAACTATGCATTTAGTTGCAAAATGTTAATGTTCTTTCTTATTGAATTACATTTAATCTATTTTTTTAATTAAAATAAATAATGAAAAAAAAAATCATACTAATTTGATGTCATATTCTTCATTAAATTTGCATAAATTTAACTTTAATTTTTTTTAATAAAAATCTTAAGTCTAAAATTTTAAAACAATTTAAATAATATCTTAAATTTTAATGAATATATTGCATAAAAAATAAAGTATTTTTTATTTAAGTATTTATTAATTTTTCATAAATATATTGCATAAAAAATAATGTATTTTATGGTAAAAATGTTTAAAAGTGAGTATAAAAGGTTTTATTATAAATAATAAAATTTTCATAATAAGTTAATCACTTTAGAAAATAGTAATTATAAATTTTTTTTTATTTTTTATTTTATGATAAATTGATACAAATAGTAAAATTAAGATAAATTGTATAATTAATATTTAGATAAAACGGTCAACTAAACAGTTGTAAGCTCTTACTAAAGGTTTTATTATAAATAATAAAAATTTTATAATAAGTTAATCATTTTAGAAAATAGTAATTATAAATTTATTTTTTATTTTTTATTTTTTATTTTTTATTTTATGATAAATTGATACTAATAGTAAAATTAAGATAAATTGTATAATTAATATTTAGATAAAACGGTCAACTAAACAGTTGTAAGCTCTTACTTGACAGCTGAGAGTGCATTTTCCGCCAGTTGACATGTTGTGCACTCACCTATAATGATGGGTTCATTAATTTTCAAAGCTATAATGATTATAATTTATTTTTGTACACGCACACAAAATAAGGAGGAAGAATTGAATTATTTTTTACTGTATTTCTTTTGTATTGATAAGAAAGTCACGTGCTGATTTGTTGTAATGGACGTTGGAACTTTCAAAATTTTCCCACCACACAAGCATTGCCTGAAGTATATAATTATGAAACAAAAGACTTTCAACAATGATTTATCTTGGGGTATTTTTAATTTATTTATTCTTTCCTCCAACATAGCAAAATCATATAGTCATTTTATGGAATTAACAGTGAAGTTAAAGTGTAATGCTAAGGAGTAAGTTTCATCATTTAACTTAACTATTATTAGGTGAATAATTTGTTACAATGTATTAACCCCATAATTTTCAGCATTTTTTTTTCTTTTATGTCAACGAGATTGATATCGGGCCTCTTAAAATACTCCATAATTTACTATTGAGCACATGCAATCTCACTGTCCCACGTGCATTGAGAAATTATCGAAAAATTTTCTCTAAAGATGGTGCCAAAGAGATCTCAAATGCATTGAGTAATTATCGAAAATTTTCTCTAAAGATGGTATTAAGGAGATTTGAACTCTCGATCCCCAGAATGTGAGGTGAAAAATCTAGAATCAAATAATAGAATAATTATGCTTAAATGTAAGGGAATGTGAGTGTAACTATTTAAATTAGGACTTTGTTACATTATGTTCCACTTGAAATACAAGATGTACGGTAACAATAATTTGCTTGTGCCTTCCTTCAAATGAAAAATTAATCAAAAAATGATTTATTTTACATAGTATTTTTGGGTTCATGTGCATGCATAGCGGGTAGGGACGGATTTAGAAATTCATATGAAGGGGGTAAATTTATATAGAGGGATTTTTTCATAATTTCAGTGGGGGCAATTTCAAAATTTTATGGGTATAAATATAAAAAAGTATAAATTAAAGATTGTAAAATACAATAATAAAAATTTTCAATGGGGGCGCATGCCCCCGCTGAGCCCTTCATAGATTTGTCTCTGATGGTGGGCACAGATAAGTCAAGTCCAAACAACCAAATTTTTAAAAATTCAAGGTGCTATAACTATTAAATTATGTTTGTCGATCCAACTAGCATGGACAGTTCAAATTTAAAAAAAAAAAACCTAAGATGTGCCACCCCAAGACAAAGTCCTAAAGAGATTTTTTAACAGGCATACTTTCAACCTCAAGAACATAAATGTTTTAGAAAATTAGATAATAATAGATAATAATTTCTCAAGGAATATCTCATTCGTTGTAAAAATCAATAGTAGTGAAATAAATTGCTTAGTGTTATGTATATAATGATGTGGGGCCCACAATATATTATGTCATCCATGGCATCAGGGCTTTAGGCTTACAAAGGAAGATTGCAGCAGTGGCTTCTTAGGGAAGCCAATCTTTGTGCCTATATATAAGGCCATGCATATGTACTCTTAATACATGTTGGAATACAAGTTTTTCATTCCTCTCTCCTACTCTCTTTTTCGTTCTCTCTCTCTCTCTCTCCCCCTCTCTTTGTGTGAAAGTTTCATTCTATTTCCATAATACATATTATTCTATAGATACATATATATACAAATATTTATTATACGTTATCAGTACGAGCTCCATCCATCTGAGATTTGAAGAAAAAACTTTATCTCCCTCTTTCTATCCCAACTATATATCTATTTTGTGATATTAGTTTTGATAGATTGTTGGGTTGGTTTGCTTTATCGAAGAAAATAATATTTCTGACTCCAAAGGGTAAGAAAATTTTGATTATAGATTATTGTTCATAAAATAAATTTGTTCACTTAAATGATATAAGTACTTACACTATGGTTGGTTCTACCACCTTTATTATTTACTGATCCACTAATTATGATCGGTCTTACCACCTTTATTATTTAATGTTTTATGGCTGGTTTTACCGCCTTTATTGTTTAATAATTTATTTACTATGGCTGGATTTACCATCTTTGTTATTTAAATAATTTATATTATGTTATTATTTCATTTAATGTCATTTTATTTTATATACTATGCTAAATTATATTTTTATATTGTTGTCACATCTAATTATTCTGAAAATGTCAAATTTGACAAAGCTGGAATTCGTGGCCCTGGATATTTCTGGCAAAAATTATTTATCTTGGATTCTGGATGCTCAGATCCATTTGGATGTCATGGGCCTTGGTAACACAATTAAAGAAGACAATGAAGCATCATTACAAGATAAAGCAAATGCCATGATTTTTCTCCGGCGCCATATTAGTGAGGAACTGAAAACTGAATACCTCATTAAAAGAGATCCACTTTGTTTGTGGAATAATTTGAAAGAAAGATATGATCATCAAAAAACAATCATCCTCCCAAAAGCCAGGGTTGATTGGTTGCAACTGAGGTTGCAAGATTTTAAAACTGTGGCTGAATATAATTCTGTTCTATTCAAAATCAACTCTACATTGAAATTATGTGGTGATACTGTTACTGATGAACTTTTGCTAGAAAAAACATTTACCACATTTCACGCCTCGAATATACTCTTGCAACAACAATATCAAGAGCGTAGATTTAAAAAATATTCAGAGTTGATATCATGTTTGCTTGTGGCAAAGCAAAATAATGAGTTTTTGTTGAGAAACCACCAGTCTCGTCCAACTGGATCGACACCGATCCCTGAAACATATGTTACCTCAACCCGTGATTGTGAACGCGAACGTGGACGTGGTCGTGGTGGTAGAAATGAATATGGTCGTGGTAAAAATAACTACCACAATAATGAATATGGTCGTGGTACAAATCATTCTTATTATCGTGAAGGATATCAATCCTTACATTTTTGTAATCAGAAATCCACACCATATCCTCAAAAGAAAGATCATAATGAAATTAGACAAGTAAAAAGGAAGGATGTGGCTCAACCTTCCAAGGCTCATGATAATACTTGTTACCGATGTGGAATGATGGGGCATTGACAAAGCATTTGTTGTACACCTAAGCATCTGGCTGACCTTTACCAAGTCTCAATGAAACAAAAAGGGAAACAAAAGGAAATGAATTTCCTTGATCATGATGAGCCAGTTAACATCACAAATTTGGATGTATCAGATTTTTTGAGGACCGTGATGAAAGGATAAACTTCCTGATTGGTGATGGAAATGTCCACACCAATTAATCTTATTTTCTTTTCATGTTCTGTTTACTATATTTTTGTTTTTTCCTTGTATTAAAGTTTTTATCTCCTAGTTTGTATTAAATTTTATTTTGTTATAAAAGTTTCTTTTCGGATAAAGAAATTTGCATGAATAGGAATTGATCTGACTAGTTCTAAAATAAAAGGTGAAGATATATGTCTTGCAGATAGTGGAACGACACACACAATCCTTCGAAATCAAAAATATTTTTTCCACTTAATTCTGACAGACGCCAGTGTCAGTATTATATCAGGTCCCACCGACTTGATTGAAGGCTCTGGACAAGCCAACATCATTTTACCATATGGAACAAGATTACAAATCAATGATGCCTTATATTCTACAAGATTTCGGAGAAATCTGTTAAGTTTTAAAGACATGTCGTAATGGCTATCATATTGAGACCGCAAATGAAATAAATGTAAAATATCTCTACATTACTTCCATTACTTCAAGTAAGAAGCTGATATTAGGAAAAAAAAAAAAAAAAAAAAAACCCTGTTTTCTCTTCCAGGTTATACTATACAACCATTAGGACAATTGAGTCAAATGCTGTGATCCATAAAAAAGCTTGTGACTCAAAACTTTTTATGCTTTGGCATGATCGACTTGGTCACCCAGGGAATACAATGATGCGTCGAATTATTGA